CAGCTTCTTTCCTCACCACCACCACGCTTTTTTCTCTGCTTTAAGAACTGGAATGTATCTTTTGTTTGAGAATGTGATAACTGTAACCCACATAATATCCTTAGGGATTAATAAAGCATGCTGATTCTGATTCTGATAAGATTGCTTAAAAATCCCTTTTTTCACCTAACAAGTGCAACAATCTGTGTGGAAAGTGTTGTCAATCCTTTATTGTTATTAGGGAGGCTTGCTTACACATAAAGTAAGTACTTCAAAACTGATCATGTATAAATCAGTGGATGAACAAGTTTAACATCCTGAGTAAGTCACTGAAACTGGTAACCAATAGAAAACCCCTATGCTTTAAACAGAAACAGATTTTAACTTATTTTCATTTATTGTGTCTATTATTATTTTGTCACAGTTTTACATTCTTAACCGTTTAGCTTTATTTATCTATGCGTGTATGTATTTTTCTATGTATTTATGTTTAAATCAAAATCAAACCAACATTCGGTAGCCATCTTTGGTGTTTTACTGCCCCCTGCTGGGAAACCCCGTGCACATGCTAAACCTACGTCACATCCGCACAGAGTCTCCAGTTGAATTCAGTGGACGAACATGGCGGTGCGTTTGATTAATCTGCTACCATCCAACCTGAAATATGAAGTGTTTCAGCTTTCACACACCAAGTTATGACTTTGAAGCGGGTAGGTTACGTTACAATTTACTTATTTTTTTACATTAGTCGCGTTTTAAAGTTTTACACGCCGCGTTTCTTTTTCGTTTCTTCCAACTGGCTGCCTCACACACATGGCAGACTGAGTTTAACAACAGCCGGTGTTTCTTACTTTGGGTCCACAGGCTGAAAACATTTTACGGTGTTGTGAAAATCCTGCAGACCTTTCCAGCGAGGCTCAGCCTGCGGTGGCTCTGTCCTTTCCTGTTGTGTCTGCTAGAGAAATGTGAGGCTGTTTGAGGCCCTGCTGTGACCCATCATGGCAGGGTTATAGGTAAACCTCAGACAAAGTAAAACTATTTTAAAGTGAGTGATTTTAGCCATTTTGGTTTTCAGTGTATCAAATAGTTGTCTCTGTACATTTGTGTTTATTCAGGTGGCTGGATTCTGCATTAATCCACAGGGACAGTGCACGAAGGCTGGCCGCTGCTGTCGATGGCATATGGGTCACGAGATGTGACCATGGTAATTTCTTCATCATAATCTTCCCTCTTGTAGTTGGTTTGCAGACCTTTCCAGCGAGGCTCAGCCTGCGGTGGCTCTGTCCTTTCCTGTTGTGTCTGCTAGAGAAATGTGAGGCTGTTTGAGGCCCTGCTGTGACCACTCGCTGCAGGGTTGTAGGTAAACCTCTGACAAAGTGGACGGGTTGTTTTGTTTTGTTTCTTTTAAGTGATTTATCAGTTACAAAGCAGGCATTCCTTATTTCTGTGCATTACTAATGTCCACACACAGACGGCGTAAAGATAGAAGCAGCTTCAAGGTGCGAAAAGATGTGTTAAACTTTCTGCAAAGAGACTTTTGGTCCTGATGAATCTGAAACCTTCAGTATTTCTAAAAAGTTCAAAAATACTGTAACATTTCAGGCAAAATTCCTTGCTGAAGTTTGCAGATGCTAATATTTGAAATGGATCTCAAACCATGTAAACCTCACATTTATCTTTCTCTGTGTTTACACAGGCGGCTGGCTTCTTCAGGAATGACTCATAAAGAGTAGCACATGAAGATGGGCAGCTGCCATCTTCAGTTCCAACCGCGTGGACCACGAGTTTCAAATAAGGTAATCTCTCCATCGCCATCTTCCGTCACGCATGACGTGAATGTGTAGGTGGTGTGCAGACTTTCCAGCGAGGCTCAGCCTGCAGTGGCTCTGTCCTTTCCTGTTGTGTCTGCTAGAGTAATGTGAGGCTGTTTGAGGCCCTGCTTTGACTGTTCGCTGCAGGGTTATAGGTAAACCTCCAACATTATTTTACTCTGTTTAAATTGAAGCTGAAGGCTTGTTGTAACACTCGAGCGTTGTATTTTAGCTTCTTTACTGAACCTGTTTTTCTATTTTCTGCACAGGAGAAACCGCAGCATGTGTCTGCTGTTGATGTCTCAATAGACGCCAAGTGGTACGTTCACCTGGACATCTCTTAACTGTAATAAGTGTCATAGCAGCAGTTCTGGACTAACACAAAGGCTCTTTCATTAAATCCAGAAGTGCGAATTGTTTTAAGGTCCTCTCACAGAGGCCTCACTCAGCTCCGTTACCTACCACTAAATCCTGTGTTTACAAAAAGAATTACGTGTTTAACATCAGTAAGATATTTCTGTTAAATGCGCCATGTTTCAGCATTTAGACGTCAGGCGCAAATAAATAAACAAATGTTTATTTAGTGAGCTTTTGTGTGTGTACGTTTAGTCCTGCTCAGTCAGGTTGTTGGGTGATGTCTCTGCACATAAACAGTTCTGTAAGTGAAACCTGTGCTTCTCGTCTTTTCTAGCGTGGTGGTGCTTCCAGAGAAAAGCTCTCCAGTGCAGATGGTTGTTGTTGCTCAAAGCGCCAGAGATTTAAGAGTCTGGCCTCACAGGTGAGAAAATGAATCCATGAATATCTGACATCTTTTTATTTTTTAAAACCATTTTACTAAACT